TGGACTCCCACATGACCTACTATGGTTCAGGTCCCAGACTTGGTGACTGGAAAATCACACCAAGTGCATGTGTGTGTGTGCACAAGATCCCAAGAGGAGGATAGAGGAAAGGAGATTATGGCATGCCCAGACTCCCTCAGGGGTGATTCCTTACTTTTCTTCTGTCTCTCTCAGCGAGCACACATACCTTTTGGCAAAAATCTAAAAAGAAAAAAAGAGAGAAAGAACCTTGGGTGTAGACAAATAGAGGCCTCAAATTACAACATGTGGGCAGGCACATACTGTGCCTACCTGGGAACACAGAAGAAGCACTGAGAAGGTCCAATAGAATTAGCAGTTGGCCAGTGAACTGACTTCCTCTTCAAAGGGATCTTTTATTTAGCACAAACCTCTCTTCCATTAGGCCTGAACTAGGTAGAGGCAATGTTAAGAGAACCATGATGAATGATTTGAATGTCTCTCTATGTATTAAAATTTGATGAGACATCGAATGGTATTAAGAAGGTGAAAAATTAATTCAATTATGGGATTAAGAGGTGGAGTCTTTGCGGAAGGATTAGGATTAAGGTCTTCAGGGTGAGGCCCCTATGACTGATCCCTGGTAGCTTTATAAGAGAAAAGAGTCCAGAGCAGAGACAGAGACACATAGACATATTCGTGTTCTAGTTCTGTCCTGTCCTCACCATGTGCTGCCTTAGGACTCTGCCAGCAGGAAGACCCTCATCGGAGGCAGCCCCCTGATCTTGCACCTCCAAAACCACAAGCCAAATACACCTCTACTTTTACAAATCACCCAGACCCAGGTATTTCTGTTCTTAGCACTAATATACATGTTACGTTGAAGGAGACAATGACTAGAAAGCTAAATAGAGTAAAGTATTATAAATGCACTTCTATGCTAGCCCATAGTCTAGCTGTTAAGGAGCAGGATCCCACATGGTCAACCACGGTTCAAGTCCTGGCCCTGTTGACTTGAAGTACACTCCAGGTACATGTAGGTACATGCCCAGAATCGTGACAAGATGGAGAAAGTGAAAAGAAGGGATTGGCCACATTCCAATGGAGGTGTGATTTCTCCCTTTTTTTTTTTTCTCACTCTGTCTCTCTGTTTTTCTCTGGCAAGTGCATGCATCCCGTGGCAATTAAAAAATAAAATAATTAAAATCCCTTCCAGGGCTAGATAGTGGCACAGAAGTAAAATGCAATTATGCGAGGGTGACCCACATGGGAGGTTCCAGATTTGTATCCAGAGACCACCCTGAGTATGCCAGGCATCCACATGTCTGCAATCTGGGGCTGGTCAAAGCTGGCCGTGCAGCAGCAGGACCCTGTTAGGGGTGCCATCTCTCTCTCTTACTCATGGAGGAAATAAATAAATAAATAAATAAACTTAAAAAATGCACTCCCAAGAGCCAGCATGTGGTGTGGTGGTTAAGATGTTGGACTCCTACAAACTACTCCCAACTGAGTGGTTTGAGTCCCAGACTTGGTAGTTTGAAAATCATGCCGGGTATATGTGTATGCATGCCCAAATTCCCAGAGGACTGTGGAAGAGAAGAGATTGCAGTGTGGCCATCCCCTGGGAGGTTTCTCACTTTTCTTCTCTCTGTCTTTGTCTCTCACCTGCAAACACACACACCGTATGAGAAAAAAACAAGCAAACAAACAAACACCACTTCTGATGAACAGGAATGAACAGAATAAATATAAATAAATTATATGGAAACTGTACTACTTCAGTTTTGTCTTCACATGTTGATACAAACGAAGGCAGAGTCCTCCAATATTAAGAGAGACTTCAAATTACTTTTTTTTCCCCAAGAACAACAAGATTTTAAAGTCAGATATATTTATTCACTTTATATTAGCAATTTGACTAGGAAGTAGTTTTCTATAAGAAAGACTAATCTTGGGACCAGCAGAAGGTGTAATAGTTATGTCGTTGGACTCCAACATAGTTGACCACGGTTCAAGTCCTGGACCCAACAGCTTAAAACTCATGCCAGGCATGTGTGCATGTGCACCCAAAATCCCAAGAGGAGAAGGGATTGCAGCATAGCCATCCCCCCTGGGCGGGAGCAATTTCTCACTTTCTATCTCTCTGTCTCTGTCTCTCCAGTGAGCACACGCACCCTATAGCAAAAATCTCTCTTAAAAATAAAAAACGAAAGACTAAGCTTTATCCTTTGTCTTACTTTGATCTTTTCTGCCAAATTTTTGTTTTCCACTTGTCTGAAAATTTCACATGCATAGGGACCATGTATGTCTCTTTCTCTCTTTCTCTTTTGTTTCCTGTATATATGCTGGAGAGGGACAAAAAGAGGGAAAGTGAGAAAGTACCTCCCCCCCCCCCAGGACAAGGTCACCCGACAATCATCTCTCCTCTATTTTTCCCTTCAAGATTTTGGACACACATCACACATGCCCGGCATGTTCTCAAGCCATGGGGTCTGGGACTCCAACCACATAGTCGGCTGTGTGGGATCCCACTGACTTAACCACCATGCCATAAACTGGCCCCCATATATATGTCTCCTTTTACTCTATAATCCTATTGTGCCTTGCATAATGCTGCCACACAATAAATATTCAATAAATATTAAATGAATCAATGCTCATCACTATGGTCTTGCATGAATCATGTGGCTAGTATGATACATCAGAAACCACATTCACAACATGCAAGAAAAGGGACGCCCTTCTCTGCCTATGCATGTAATGTCAATGGATGTATAATAGATTATTGATAGACTGAGAGAGGGAAGGCCTTATACTGGAGTTAATTGGGAGAGAAGAAAAAAAGATAAGATTCAGAGGAAGATTTTTATTTCTAAGTTCATTTCATTGAGCTTGGAGCAAAACTCTCCAAAGAACTGAAAACTGAATTATTCTCATATCTGTTTTTGTTTTGTTTTTGAAAGGGTTTTTTTTTTTTTTGCTATAGGGCACGTGCGCTCCCCAGAAAGACAGAGAGAGACAGAAAGCGAGAAATCATCCCCCGAGGAAGAGCCACACCACTCCTCCATTCTCCTCTGAGGATCTTGGGCACACACACACACCCGCCTGGCGTGAGTTTAAGCCACCAGATCTGAGACTCAAACCACAGTTGGCTACATGGGAGTCCAGCGATGTAGCCATTATGCCAACTGCTGGTCCCTGAATTGCTCTTATATCTGTAAAGTAAAAAATTGAGCCCATTTTAGAAATAAGAAAAATAAAGTATCCAAGCATAGATTCCTTATAAAGATCCAGCATTATGTAAATATAGAATGAAGAATTACACGCCCTTACTATTTTCCAGGAGTCTGTCCACACCACCCATATGGGTCCTCTTATTCTTCCTCTACCTTATTCAGTCAGATTGAAATTTTTATTCCATAGTTGGTCTCCCTAAATAAACACACGCTTTCTCCACTTCAGTCTGATAATGATAAAGTTTGTTAACTCAAAGAATCTAAACAGATCAATTCAGGCAAATGCCCACAGCAGGAACAAGCAGAAAAAGATGTCATATGGCCACAATTTAGAAATCCTATACAGAACACATTCTGCTCTTCCTTGATAAGAAGCAACATTCCAACTGAGATGTGAATTCTCTAACTAGAGTGGCTTATCTGTTTCAAAAGTCCGATAGATGCTCAAGTTTGTTCAAGAAACTGCATTTTATAAATCAAGTTTCTTTGTTTGCATACTTCCTGTGACCTCCAGAGGCTATTACAATAAACAACAAATCACGGTTTTTCTCTTCAGTTCTAGTTCTCTTTTCTGGAAACTGGAAACTAATCGTACTCCTGGCTCACAAGTTACAGATACTTCACTGCCTCGGAAGCATCAGAGATTAAAACGAGAGCACATGAGCCCATGTTTACTTTATAACACTGTCATGGAAAATCAGAGCTAGGAGGGTGCTTGGAGATCACACAGTCCAACCCCTTCTTTATCACTTAAGGACCCTGAAGCTCAAAGAAATGTTGAAATGTACTCTTTGTCCCTAAATATATATTGGTGAGAGGTCTCTTTTGAAATATAGGTGTCTCAAAGTGGTCTCATTCCTTAAACTGACTGGTCACCAGCAACAAAAAAGAGGTCCTCTTATTCATACCCACCTTAACACGCTTCATAGGCATTAGGGATCTGGAATCCTGGAACTAAAAATCAAGTCATATTATTCCCCAACTTACTTGGCTCTGGGGATGGCAGAAGCAGGGGAGTGGGGAAGTAGTCTCTGGTAGCTGGAATTCTAAGTGACTTGTGAAAAAAAAATGACTTGTCAAAAATAAAAACTTACACACATCACTGTGTGTAACTGTGCCGCGTCTACTTCGCAGCCTCCGAGCATCACAGCTAAGCACGAGAAACAGCTGCCTGTCCTTGCTGCCTCAGCCACACCTGGGCAGGCTCCTTCTGGGGACCTTCCCTGCTGGCATCTCACCCCCCCACACACACACAATCAGACATCTGGTGCTCTGCCTGGCCATGGGGAAACAGTGCTGAGGGCAAGAGAATTGGGGCTCTCCCTCCCACCAGAAAACTAAAAGGAAACCAGAAGAGAAAGTATGTCTACTTTATCAAAGGGAACCCTTTATTATGTGAAACGTCTGATGCCTTAGAAATCTACCAAACAGTAGAGGTATTTTCAGTATTTCAAAACCACTCATGGAAATCACACATGGATCCACAATGCTAACCACAGACTAACCATAACATCGAGTGTTTTCCTTGGGCTTGAATTCTGTCACCCAGTGGGATTATCCCAGGTTTATCGGGAGCTGTAAACAGCAGTTAAAGATGTCTTGGATTACAAAAAAACTGAAGAAATCATTATCTAAGAGATGAAATCAGGTCCCTTGAAGGACAAGATAAAATGATGAAAGGGGTTTTTGTGAGTATAAGAAAGATTTGGAATTACAAGTTTTAAACCAAAGGACCCTTCGAAAAATTATCAAGCAGAAACCCCCTCCCTGTGCCAGCTCTCCCCTGGTTCTGCGATAACAACTCACTGAGCAGGGCAGGGAGGCTTTCCTGTAACTGGCTTCCTGCGGCCGGTGGCGGTCCCGGAGTCCTCTCTTATCCTCTTCTCTCCAGCTGTGACCCCAGTAGCTGCTCATCCATTTGGCAAAAGACACATCATCATCATCATCATCCTTCTGTTCCATGTACAGGTGATTCAAAATGTTGAAGACCTGTTCCTAAACCTGACAGAAAGAAATAGCACCCAACAGGGCTCACTTGATGAAACCCAGGTTCTTCCCCAAAAGACAAACTGAAACTGGTATTTTTAAATGGTCTCCGATAATGGCATCCTTAAAGGAGAAAGATTTACTAAATAACCACTTCATCATCAGGCAGCCTTGGGCAATGTCTATTTATAAATTGTGCAGCCCACATTCCCCTCCCCCTTGTCTTTTTAAATTGAGAGGCTTTTTAATCCTTCCATTGCTGGGGCTTGAGCCTCGCAGCCTAAGGGTAGGAAGCACAGTCCACTGCCTGCTTCTCCCTGCGTGCCGCTGCCAATGGCAGGCGATGGCATCTCCAGCTGTCGATGATGATGGCGCATGACCCTCAGACCATGCCCGGCGCTCCAGGCCAGCTTTGAAATGGGGCCACATACAAGAGACAGACTGACTGCAGCTTGCAAAGTGACCAGCTGTTGACGGTTCATACCCAGAGCTAGACACTCTCCTGATACATTAAACTGATACTTGGTATAAAATGCAGCTCTTGAGTCAAGGGAGCAGTTTTCTCATAGAAGTACTTATGCATGTGCCAATGTAAATAATGCATGTGTACGTGTATTGGGTTGTCAGAAAAGTCATGGTATTTTTCTATGTTTTTCTATGTAAAAATGTGTCATGGCTTTTCTGAAGACCTAATAAAATGTACAAACTTTAAGTGCCCAACTTGGTGAAGTTTTACATGCATAACCCCTGTGTTATGACCACCATTAAGGTGAAGATATAGAACATTTCCACCATCCAGGCTCCCCCTCCCTGCTGCCAATCCATCTTCTCTTCAAAAGGTTACCAGTTCTGACCTCTGTCACCAGAGATCAATTTTGCCTATTTTAAACTTTCCTTCAATGACATTATGCAGTATTATTTCATGTCATTCAACATTATGTCAGTGAGATTCAGCCATGCTTTGCAGTAGTAGTTCATACTGTGTACCTCATTCTATAAATAGATCACGATTTAAAAAAAAAATTAACCAACTACAGATATAGTTTGAATATGTCCCCTGAAAATTCTTGGGTGATCTACTAAAATGGGATTAAGAAGGTAAAAACTGGATTTAATTATGGCGTCTGAATGCAGGCCTATGACAAAGAGATTAGGATTAAGGTCATGAGGACTGGACCCCCATGACTGAACTCTGGTGGGTTTATACGGAGAGAGAGTGAGACAGACAGACACATGAAACACAGACTAAACTCTTTTGTGCTCTGCCATGTGATTCAGCCCCACCAGAGGTGGCCCTAGGATTTTAAACCTCCAAACAGTGAATCGAATAAACCTCTAAATCACCCAGTTTGGGGCATTTCTGTTCATAGATAACAGAAGTGGTCACTTGGGGCTATCAGTTGGATTGTTTCCAGTTGGTGCTACTATAAATAAAGCTTCTAGGAACATGACAGCCCAGATTCGCCCCATAGTCTAACAGCTAAGGGAAGTCGGTTTCCACATGGCCCTCTGCAGTTCAAGTCCCGGCTGTGGTGGTTTGAAAACATGCCATGAGGGACCAGCAGATGGCATAGTGGTTAAAGCACTGGACTCCCACATGGCCTGCTGCAGTTTGAGTCCCAGACCCACTGGCTTGAAACACATGTGTGGATGTGTGTCAAAAATGCCAAGAGGAGAATGGAGGAAAAGGGATTGATGTGTGACCACATCCCAAGGAGTGATTTCTCACTTTCTCTCTCTCTCTGTCTCTCTGTCTTTCTGTCTCTCCCGTGAACTCATGCACCTTACAGAAAAAAAATCTCTCCAAAAAACAGAAAAATGCACCATGTGCATGTATGTGCCTGACCCAAATCTCAACATGATAGAGAGGTGAAGGGGAACAGATAGTAGCCTGACCATGCCCATTAGGGGGATGCTTTCTTCCTCTCACTCTTTCTGTTTCTCTATCTCTCTCTGGAAAGTGCACACATCCTCTGATAATTATTTACATATATATATATATATGTGTGTGTATATACATACATACATATATGTATACATGTGTGTGTATGTGTGTGTGTGTATATAATCCTTGTCTGTTAGTGGACATATTTTTTCAAGGTAAGGAGTATATTACATTTATGGAACCCCTACTTTGTGCCAGTGTGTGTGTGTATATAATCCTTGTCTTTTAGTGGACATATTTTTTCAAGGTAAGGAGTTTATTACATTTATGGAACCCCTACTTTGTGCCAGATATGAAACCAAATATTTCCCACATACTGTTTTCACTATAATGACACTGTGACTCAGAGGTATATATCATGTTTCCTAGATGCAGAAACTGAGGTTAAAATAGATCATCCTTGCCCAAGGTGCAAGGAACAGAATAACAAAATCCAATCTCTTTCCACCTTTCTGCCAGTATTCCAAGAGACATTTGGACAATTTTGCATTTTGCAGGGATCTTGGCCATTTGCCATCTGAAAATCCCTCCTTGAATTGCAAAAAGATAGGCTTAATAATATGATCAATGTTTGTAGAGGTGGTGCCACAGCTTATATGTTACTAAAGAAAAATAAACGAAGTATAAAATAGCTTGCAACACTTTCATTTCTTGCTTTAAATAGACGTGTAGGCTGGCCACTTTGTAATATTTCTATTAGAGAATGGAAGAAATCTACTTTGCAATGATCCAGATGAGAAAAGAAAAGTTAGAACTACTTGTCATCCATGTCTGTGTCTCTGTTACTGCTTTAGTCCATTCTGTTGCTGATAAAGGAAACTCTCTGAATCAAAGTAATTTAAGAGAATAGGTTTATTCAGTGCACAATTTGGAGGTCTCAGGTCCACGGTCAAGGGGCCATACCTGGGAAGCTACATCACAGTATGGCTGAGAGGAGGAGCTTGAGCAGAACAGGATGTGTGTCTCTCTCTTCATAGACCTACCAGGGGTTCCACATAAGGGCCCCATTCTAATCACTTAATCACCTTTCATCATCATGGAGGTATTAAGGTCCACCTTAATACCTTCCCAATACAACCAAGTCCTAACACGTGTATTTGGGGGAAATCCATACCAGAGCAGTTACAAAGGAAGAAATCAGGTAACTTCTTTAGGCAAAGCAGGACAGGATCTGTCAAAAAAAAAAAAAACACTTGACTATAGATAAACCTTTTCTTTTCTATTCCTCCTGAGACAGGAGTGTCTTTTATTCCCATTCTAAAATAAAAATAAATCAATCTTATGGAACAGGGGCTGGAGAAACCAGAGGAGATAATATAGAATTACTACCTTGAAAAATAAATGGGAGTTCATTTTAGAACCTTTTTGAAGGATGTCTGTTTCTTAGAATTCTAAATTCTTCCTTCAGTGTCTTACAGACAAAACCAATTAAGTATTGACAAATGCGTGAAAGTTAATGTGGCAGTCCTGAGGCTGTTTATCTTTAGAAAGGCCTGTTTGCAAGATTGGCTTTGGCTGGCATTTGAAAACTTGGCTGGTAAACAGCCCTATACACTGGGCAGCAGGTGCGGTCGAGGTTAAAGTGGCTGGATCTCACAAGGATGATTCTGTGGTTTAAGTTCAGGATCTGGCAGCTTGAAAATCATGTTGGGCGTGTGTGTGTGTGTGTGTGTCTGTATGCCCACAATCCTGAGAGGAGTATAGAGGAGAAGGGATTGCAGCATGGCCATCCCTCTTGGTTGACTTGCCACACCTAAACTTTGTACTTGGAGTAGTTCTACAACTGATCATCTACATGCTGGGGAACCAGGAAAGCCAAGGGTGTAATTCAGTTTGAGTCTGAAGGTGAGAAAACTGATGAAGCTGATGGTGTAGAGCCCAGTCCAACAGCTGGAGAAGACAAGTTGAGGTGTCCCAGCTGAAGAAGTAAGACAAGAGAAAAGGAGGTGGGGAACAAATTCTTTCTTCCTCCATCTTTTATCCTATTCAAGCCTTCAATTAATTGGATGATGTCCACACACACTGGGGACAGCAATCTTCTTCACTGAGGTCACAAATTCAGATGCTAACCTCATCCAGAGCTACCATCACAGAGATGTCAAGAAATAATGTTTAACATGGGTACCCTGTGGCCAGTCAAGATGACACATAAAATTAACCATCACAGGTATGAATGTCATTCATGAGGGCTCCATCCCTATTGCCTATTAGATCATCAAGGAAGTTGTGACATATTTATCTGTTTTTCTATGCAAAAATGTGCCATTACTTTCCTGACAACCCAATATTTACCTCTCAAAGAACCCACCTCTAAATACTAACAAAGGACGTTAAGCTTCAATATATGAATTTTAGGAAACACAAACACTCAGTTCATAGCAGGGTGCCTACATGAGTGATACTCAATAAAAGTCTTCGACATTAAGTCTTTAATAAATGGGTGAACAACCCTTGATGCAATTCGCTACGATCCACTGTTGGAGGAAGCAAGCACCTCTGTAGGACTTCATTGGAACAGGACTTTTGGAAGCTTGTGCCTAGTTTCCTCTGAACTTTCATCCCATATGACTTTTCTTTTCTTTTCTTTTTTTTTTTTTTTTGTGGAGAGGTTTTCTTTGTTTTGTTTTTTGTTTTTTGTGTTTTTTTTTTTTTTTTTTGCCATAGAGCACGTGCGCTCGCCAGACAGAGAGAGACAGAGAGACAGAAAGCAAGAAATCACCCCCCAGAGGGGATGGTCACACCGCAATCCCTTCTCCTCCATTCTCCTCTCGGGATCTTGGGCATGCACACACACATGCCTGGCGTGAGTTTTAAGCCACCGGGCCCAGGATGCGAACCGCGGTCAACTATGTGGGAGTCCAGCAACATAGCCATTATGCTAACTGCTGGTGCCCCCCATATGACTTCTCTATTTTCCTTTTCCAGTTTTGCTTTGTAGTTATTAAGTGAAATAAATCTTATCTTTGAGTATGGCTATATGCTGAGTTCTCCTAAATCACCAAACTGGGGTGCCATTTGGTGTCAGAAGTGGGATTTGAGGGCTGAGCCCATAGCATAGATAAGCCCTGTGAATGGAGAGCCCCATTCTGCCTGGCCAATAGCGGTTCAAATTCTGGCCCTGGCCACTTGAAAAACATGCGAGTCACATGTGCATAT